GAAGCAAGAACATACACACACAAAAACCAGAATTATTTCTGCTTTGCATGCAAGGACTCTCTTGCTCTGCTTTTTCCAACCTGGCTGGCTGCCATATACCATTCAGCATTTCTTGTTTAATTCTCTTCCAATTTTTTCTGCTTTGGCTCCTAATTTTTATTTCTTTTTCAAAAATTTCCTTTCCATTTTTTTCTGCTTTAGCTCCTGATGTTCATTTCTTTTTTTAATTCTCTTCCATTTTTTTTCTCCTTTGACTCACATTTCTTTTTAAATTTTCTTTCCATTTTTTTCTGCTTTGACTCCCGATGTTCATTTCTTGTTTTTAATCCTCTGCCATTTTTTTCTGCTTTAACTCCCAGTTTTCATGACTCTTTGAATTCTCTTCCAATTGTTTCCGCTTTGGATCACCATTTTTTTTGAAGTCTTTTTTTTGTTTTTTTGAAGTCTTGGAGAGGCCTGGATGTTCTCTCTTTCTTTCTTTTTCTTTATTCCAGCCAAGAGTTACACAACCGGCAAAGTGATGACTAAAGTGTGTGTCTCCACACTTACAGTATTGGTGTGGCTGGTTACATATTGACCTGAACGTTTCCCAAGAATTGTCTCTGTTCCAGATACAAAGAACAAGCAGGTTGCATGCTTTTACGTAACTGTGTAATCACGAGTTTTTGCATTTGCACATACTTGTTCCTGGATGACTCAACCCTTTTTAAAATACTCGACTTACGACCACTTTGGGCTTCAAAAATTTTCTGCCTTGTTGCTCGGTGAGCCGTGGCCAGGGTGGGAGTGGCCTAGTCGACCTCCTGCACCACGGCGGGCGGGGCATTTTTGCCCTCCCCGGGCTCCGGAGGCTTTCCTTGAGCTTCCAGGAGGCCAAAAACAGTTGCCTTCCCGGGCACCGGAGGCCCTCTGGAGCTCGTTTCTGGCCTTCTGGAGCCCCCGGGAGGCCCGTTTTTCACCCTCCCTGAGCCGCTGTGCGGGCCTTGCACTTACCCGGCATTCAAAAACAGCCGCCTGAATATTAGATAATAATTCTGTTGACGTCCAAATCATATCTATTCTGGACCATGATGAATGTCTATTCGAATAGAAAGTATATTGTTGAGTTTTAGGTGGGATTTGCCGGTTCCCCGAACTGGTCCTTAAAAAATGATAAAATTAGCTACCGGTTCGCTTGAACCGGGGCAAACCAGTAGCAGCCCCACCCATTTACGATCACAATTGAGCCCCAACTTTACGTTGCTAAATGAAGCAAGTTTTTATTTATCTATTTATTGAACTTATATTGCTGCCTATTCGCCCATGGCGAATCGAGGCGGCTTACAGATTGTAAAAACCAATGTTAGTTGCACGGTCATTAAATGAATCCAGCTTCCCCCCCCCCCCGCATTGACTTTGCTTGACGGAAGATCGCAAAAGTGAATCGCGCAACACCCCAGGGGAAGGCTGCCACCTTTGTAAACATGAGTCGGTGGCAGAGTGTGTGAATTTCAATCATGCGACTGAGAAGTCCATGACGGTCATTAAGTGTGAAAAAATGGCTAGGGCTGTTGTAACTTTGAACGGTCAGTAAACGAAGTGTGAGTCGAGAACGACCTGAAATTGTTGTTTAGTGGCCGTTTGAAGTTCCAATGGCCCTGAAAAAAGTGACTTATGACTGTTCTTCACACTTACGATCATTGCTGCATCCCTTAAGTGATCGGAATTCAGATGCTCGGTAACTGACTCATATTTACGACAGTCGCAGTGTTCCGGGAGGTGTCACGTAATCCCCTTTTGCGACCTAATGACAGGCAATCAAATGGGGAAGCCATACTCACTTAACAACCGTTGTAACTCACTTAACAACTGCAGGGATTCACTTAAGCCCGGTGGCAAGGAAGGTCAAAGGCAAAGACTCACTTAACAGTCTCGCTTAGCAACAGAGATTTGGGGTGCAATTTTGGTCGTAAGTCAAGGACTACCTATAATACATATGCCACATTCAGGAAAGTTACCAATCCATCTCTTTCTCCCTCTACGTCGTCTTTCTTTTAGCTACATGCAGTCTTCGACTTACAATCTGAATTTTGGCTGCTAGGCAAGTCGGTCGTTGTGCAAGTCATTTCCTGTGACAAGGTCTTGACTTACGACACCCCAATTTCTGTTGCTAAGCGAGACCCTTGCTCGGCACGTTTTGCTTCCTTTTACGACGCGTCTTGCCGCCATGGTTATGTGAATCACCATAGTAAAATGGTTGTTAAAACTGAATCTGGCGTCCCCGTTGTCTTTGCCATCCAGAAGGTTGCAAAAAAGAGACCACCAGTGCCACCGTCATAAATATGAGACGGTTGCCGAGCAGTCCAATTTTGATCAAGGTGACCCTTTGAAGACATGGCTGTAAGTGTGAATTGGATGGCAAGTTACTTTATTTGTGCCGTTGGATGCTGGAACCGGTGGTGAGCTCAGAGTTGAAGTGGTGAAGAGGTGAAAAAAAAAATGCTACTGGTTCGGGCTAACAGATGAGTCTGTCAT